CAAGAATCAGCTACACACATCGCGTGACGTGATAAATAGCATGACGCATTTGCTGCATTCACGTTGCCGCTCTGTATAAGAAAGTCCTGTATTAAACTAGCTAAATTTTTACACATAACCGAGCAAAGGCAGAATATTACTGTATGGAATCCTGCAATCAAGTATTTCGATGTGTGATGTTGTGGAAGCCAGCATCTGGAGTGACTTAAAACATTCTTTCAGCACAACAGGGCAGCAGAAATGAGTTTCAGGTGTCAAACGACACAGCCAGGCATCATCCCCAGTTGATATTACTACAGAAGACAGTGGCTTGGCCATTGACAGGACAAGTGACCCAGAATTGGGCTCAGGCAATGTAAAAGGTTATCGAGTGGGCCACTCCCACACTGAAGTGACAATTCTTATCGACCACTTGGTAAAAATAAAAACTTGGTTCTGTTTGCTGCTGGATATCACGAGATAGATTGCATCCTGTGAGGGAAATTAGTGAAATAACTGTCATCAACCACATGATTAAAACTAAATGAGAATTCAAGTACACCGAACTAAACGGTGCTCGTATAAAAACAGAATTCATTTGTTGCACCTTCAAAACTTTGGATAATGGCAATGAAAACATTCTGAACTGTACCAAACTGTACTGCTCAGTGGAAAACCACTTTGAGGAGTGTGGTCTAGATTACAACACATTTGCAAAGCCAACAAGACAATAAATAGGACTTCAAGATACACACAGTAGTTCCAAAGGTGCACCTCGATTGGAGGTTGGTTATACATTATAAAGAGACAAGCGACACTGTTTTTGGTCAGAGGCCCATGGATGGGGTAAGAGAGCTGTACTGCTGAACATTGAACCCTGTTAAAGCTTAATGATTAATAAATAATGTGCATTATTGCATAAACCTCCCAAATTACTCAAACAGCATAACAAAGAGATGGTAAATATTTGACCATCACAAGACACTTTGGGGTTTTGTCTCGCACTATTGATGTTTTACCAGCAGCACTAAATGTGCTTCTGAGCATTGAACACAGCTCCCTCTATATGTCTAATGGGAGTTTTCCCGCCAATCTGTCTCTTTGTGCTGTCCTGCATCCTGATCACCTCCCAGCCTCCCTTCAAGATGTGTGTCTTTGTGTCTGTGTGTAGGCTTCAGAGGAATGCTCTGTTCAAGCATGGCAGCTCTCATCTATGCGTACGCGGGGCCCCTTACCCGAACCCTCCATCACTAGCCCTTTGTGTGTATGTATGCGTGCCTCTACGTATTCAAAGCATGTGTTTGTGTGTCATTGTGGCTGTATTTGTTAGTATTCATGGGTGTTTTTGTTACACACACACACACACACACACACACACACACACACACACACATACACACACACACACACCTTCAGGGCGATAATGTACACGCTCCAAGAATTTGTTGTCCCGAAAAGCCGCAATCTCACACCAACTGCCGTCCTAGCGAGTTGTGTGTGTGCGCGGTGTAGTAGGCGGCGGTTACGTGGCTGTTGTTCTTTCCCCCCTTTCATCTCCATTGATCATTTCAGCCCCCGTCCGTAATACTCTGATGCGTCGTTTCTCGCTCACGGAGTGGCACCTTTTAGCCTGAATACCCCAGAGTAGGATGGTAACGGCCCACTCGTGCGGCCGCAGTCGGTGCATAAATGCGGAGGTGGTGATGGGCTGTCACCTTCAGCTTTGACCTTTGTCGTACATTACCACGGCTTCCCTCTCGGCTTTATTTCCTCATCATCGGGCTGTCGTTAAAGCCTTTCCGATTTGAGCCAATAAAGAAAACGATTTAAGCGTTCCAACAGCTGCTGAACAGAGCAAACCCCAATGCCCCCCTTTTTCCCCGGAGCATCCCGCCGCCACCCCCCTCCTTTGTATGTTTTGTGTTGGACTGCACCTCACTCCACGTGCAGTAGCAGCCGCTTCGAAGCATTGAGGAGGAGTTCCCCCCGCAGGAATGTGTGTGACTGGCTGGCGGACTGCATTACATACACACTCATAAAATGCTTAGCACACTCTGGGAGCTGCTCTCATCTGGCAAACCTGATCTTGTGGGTATTTTGTGTGGGTTAATAATTTCATACTTGACAAAACGAAAACCAGCCACTTAATTTTTCTTCATTATTATTTGGTTACCTTGGCGAAAGTCTCATGCACTGTTTTTCATTTGTGTAACTTTCTATCTGCAGTTTTTACGGGAGCAAAACGGTTGTTGTTGATGAGTGGAGGTATTATGATTAATAGATGATCAAACTAACCACTAATTATTTTGAGTATGGGCGGCAACTCGGTTGACTGATAAGCACGTCCGTCACACCATACAGAAGTCAGAGGTTCGATTCCGGAGTTTACATGTTCTCCCCATGCCTGCGTGAGTTTTCTCCGGGTACGCTGGTTTCCTCCCACATTCAAAAAACTTGCATGGTAGGTTAATTGATCACTCTAAATTGTCCCTAGGTGTGACTGTGAGCGTGAATGTTTGTCTGTGTGTCCCTGTGATTGTCTGGCAACCAGTTCAGGGTGTACCCCGCCTGCTGCCCAAAGACTGCTGGGATAGGTTCCAGCACTCTTGCGATCCTCGTGAGGATAAAGCGGTTCAGATAATGGACGGTTTAGATAATGGACGGATGGATATTTTTGCTATTTAAGTAATTGTTTAGATACTTCTTTTTTTTTTTTAAATACCCAAATGCTTGTGCATTCATCGTCCGTCACACCATACAGAAGTCAGAGGTTCGATTCCGGAGTTTACATGTTCTCCCCATGCCTGCGTGAGTTTTCTCCGGGTACTTCAGTTTCCTCCCACATTCCAAAAACATGCATGGTAAGTTAATGGAACACTCTATATTGTCCTGTAGCGTGATTGTGAGTGTGAATGGCTGTTTGTAGATGTGTGCCCTGCGATTGGCTGGCAACCAGTTCAGGGTGTAACCCGCCGGTTGCCCAAAGACAGCTGGGATAGGCTCCAGCACACCCACTAAAGCGGTTCAGATAATGGACGGATGGATATTTTTGCTTTTTGAGTAAGTGTTTAGATACTTCTTTTTTTTTTAAATACCCAAATGCTTGTGCATTCATCTTTACACCAGTAAATATTCTGAGCTTTCTGTCGTCTTAATCAGAATCATAGATCATGCGGTACGAGAGCAAAATGCAAAAACAAAATCACTTGCCAGCATTGTGTGACGGGTGACAAATGATCAAATCTTGGCAGCACGTGCCCTTCCCGAGTGCTCTTGTTTAAATTGAGGCTGCAGTCCAGCCAGATTTTTAAGTATGCCTGCTTCGCCTTCCCATATCGTAATGAGAGCTACTGGAAGTCGGTTGTTCAACCTCCTTTTACAAAGCCGCAAATGTTGCATTGATAAGCAGCGATGAAGACCATAACAGTGGTGAATTGACTTCGGTGTAAATGGGACAGCTGCAATGACAGAGTGGCTCATTCAAAATGCAGATGCTGCTGACACGCCTCCATCGCTGGGCACCAGATTGCTTCATAAACCCCTGAGGCGGACCTTCTGTGTAGATAGCCGATTCAATTTTAGAAAGACAATCGCTACGTGAAGGAGGCTTTTGCAACAAGAAGAAGCTGCGATTCTCGAGAGCTGCTGCTTGTCAGCTGGCCTCATGTGGGACTCGTGAGCTTCCTCCCGAGCTCCTCAGCCTTCTTCTAAAAATACATCTGATTCATCTTGGTTTGACTGGTTGACATCCTTACAAGTTCTCCAAAAAAGCTCTTTGCTGTCAATGAAATTGGGATTTGATAATTCCGTTTTGATCATACAGTCATTATCAGACTTGTGCCGTGCAGTTATTTCTCAGTGGTTCAGGACTGACAGCACAGCCCAGTTTGACCTTTGTGCAATTGCTTAAAAGATGCCTTTTTGTGTGTGTGTGTGTGTGTGTGTGTGTGTGTGTGTGTGTGTGTGTGAGAGAGACGGAGGGAGTAGACGGTGACATCACCCCTGACACTCATCTGACATGCAAGGTCTAAATATATTCCCTTTTGAAGCAACCAAAGTGGAAATGTTGTGCCACGCACCCTGTAGGAACAAGAAGTGCTTCAGTTAAACACGACACAGGAATGAGATTTCCCAGCCGCATAATGCAACCGAACACATTAGAAATTGGATATTTTTGATAAATTGGTTCCAAATTCACAATCCATGTTAAGTTCGGTTTAATGAATACTGCACACAGGAGGTTCTTGGTCCATGACGGTTCTGACATATAACATTTCGCAGCTATGGATTTCACGCAATGACAATTTTGCACAGCTGCACAGGCATACGTCATCATGGGACACAAGAAGGCATGCTCGGTCACAGCCATACTGATTTTCATTGGATTGTGCTGCTAGTGAGTAAAAGTGGTACAGAAAATGGATGTTGAATGTCTTATATTTTTGGCCTACAAATGTTCTTTATACAAATATATTCACTGTCATGATGACTGTATATTGTATCTTGGCATGGGTTGCTCCCACGTGGTCCGACTTAGAAATTTGAGTGATGTCTTCAACACACGAACGGCAACCAAGGACCCCCTGCCACAAAATTTCAAATCTGACAAGACTTCTTAAAGCAGTCAGCCATTGTTAATGAGAATAATGAGAGCTGTCCCAGCTAAATTTGTGTGAGAGGTGGACCATGCTCATCAATTGCACGTCAAATAATGTAGACAAAGAACCAGTCACACTCTTCAATGAACCAACATGTCTATTTTTGGAAAGTCAAAGAAAGCCAGAGTTTTTGGACAAAAGCTGCCTGTTATGCTGCAAGAATACAATCCAATCAAAAAGAAATCTAGTTCCTTAATCCCCCCAAAACTGTACACAGCATCAATATAAATTGCCAAGGTAACTTAAGCAAAGGAATTTTTCAGGCATTCATTAGGTCGACTTCACTCGTCCCTCAACTGGTTTGTTGTGGTCGGTCCGGAATGGGACAATGCTGACTCTGCCACATTCTTTTGCTTCATCTAGATGCGACAGAGGAGTTTTTTGAGTATGACGCAGAGGAGTTCCTGGTCTTCCTGACCCTGCTCATCACAGAGGGACGGACGCCGGAATATTCGGTGAAGGGCAGGACCGAGGGGCTGCACTGTCCGCCCGCCCAGTCGGCCATGCCGCCTCTTCACAAGCACGAATGCAGCGATAAACTGCCACAGGTATAACAACTGCAGTCCTGCCATGAATTGTTGTTTATATTTGAAACCTCATAAATGTCCCTTGCTGCCTGTTTTTGGAGAACAATCACAACTAACTAAGACCCCGAAACGACCCTCTTGTGTGAGTCTCTCTTGGGCCCCATCTGCTATGCGCCCCACCAAATACACACACACACACACACACACACACACACACACACACACACACACACACACACACACACACACACACTCTTTCAGGTGTCCTGACATTGACACTCACTAATGATTACCCACCATCCGCTTTTCTCTGCGTCAAAAAGTGTCAGCAGGCACGGCGGACCCGTTCGGAGGTGATCCTGCTCTGGAGGAACAGCATCCCCATCATGATCGAGGTCATGCTCCTGCCCGACTGTTGCTATGGTGATGAGTGCACACCGAGCGACCCCATCAGCGACCCGGTCATCAAACAAGATGCGCTGCTGCTGGAGAGATGGACATTGCAGCCACTTCCAAGGCAGTAAGAGAAAACACCAGAGCATACTTGTTGACCAGAATTAGTCATGGGTGCATTTATTCAATTTTGCTTCGTTAAAATAATATAATGTACACTATGTGGTGATTGATGCCTTATGTTTATTTTGCTTCACAGTTATGTCAATCATTGTGGCATGAAAGAAGATAAAAATTGTGTGTTTACTCATATAATTGTGGATTAAGAGTGAACCACTGCTGCCAGCAGCGGGAAAAAAAAAGCGGTGCCAAAAAGTAGGTCAGTTCGGGCTGGATATTTTGGGATCCTGTAAAATGTAAATCACACAAAACCGATCCAAAGGGTCCAGGAGCTTTTAGTTCTTGCGATATGAAATTTCAAGGTCTCACAGTTCCCAATCAGACAATGAACTACCCACCTGGCAGGACCTTATTTTGGCCCTGATAAATTTCTCTGGATGTAAATTTAGACAAAGGTTCCCGCAGGCCAAACATACATTCTTTTGCCAAAAGTTCCTTGCTCTTGGGTCATGTTCCTATGGAGGAAATGTGCTTAGCCTAAATGAAACTACTAAGTCCAGACTAATTTACTGTTCATTAAAGATAATGAAGGTAATCTAAATGAAGGAGAAAAAAAAACATTAAATCCGAGATAAATAACCTTGGCACCCACCGGGTTAATTAGCCTGGAAAGTTGGCCCACTTCTATGCTCACTTTTGTTGAACGAAGTCATGAACACGCACCCCTGGATGTTTTTTCATTAACCCGACACACTGACACATTTCCACCATTTAATTTTTTTCCCCCTTTATATAGAAGTGGTGACCGTTTCATTGAGGAGAAGACTCTGCTGTTGGCCGTGCGCTCCTACGTTTTCTTCTCGCAGCTCAGTGCCTGGCTCAGTGCCTCACATGGCATCGTCCCCAGAAACATCCTGTACAGGTTGGTTTCCACACTTGCCTTCAGATTTTGACACTGGTGGGCATGAAACACGTTGACATGAGTGTTTGTTCCAAATTAAGATTAAGACTCATGTAACAGTGGTGTTGATCCTCTTTTTTAACAGAATCAGTGCTGCCAATGAGGACTTGGTGTGGCAGTTTTCACAGCCGCCATCCGAGCACATTTTCCCCGTCCCCAACGTCTCCCAGAGTGTTGCGCTGCAAGTCCGCGTCCAGTCGCTGCCCCGCCAGCCCACCTATCCCACCTTGGCGTGCAGCATCCACACCGGCCTGCCCCCGCTCTACAACAAGACTCCCAGCCTCAACCCGAACCTCAACAGCCATGGTGGTCTGCCCACCTTCCGAAAAAGCCAGGAACCCAGCAAAGAGAACCTCCACCACAACTCCAACATATACAACAAGAGCTCCAGCTCCATGACGGGCCTCCTGCTCAACGGAATGCCCATCCCCAATCTTCCCATTAACAATATTCCCATTAACAGCCTTCCGCACACAGCCACAGCGCCCCCCTACAGCAAAAAGACACAGGAGCCTAGTGAAAACCACACGTATCAGAATGGAGAGCTTCCGCAGGTCAACATCCCCCAAAGTCAGGACTCCCCACTGTTCCGCCGATCCTCTCGCTCACCCACACCTTCACGCTCCCATTCTCCCTCTGGGCTCTCGGGAAAGTGGCTTTACCCGCCGTCCCTCAATGGTTCATCGGACCCCCCACTGTTGGAAGATTATGGATGCAGCACCAACAGCAGCGACAGGTCAAAAGCGCCCCTGCCCGAGCCGCTCCGAGCCTTGAAGAGTTTCTCATTGGCTGAGCCTGCCCGCTGCCCCTCACCGCGGCCCACAGCGAATGAAACCAATCCCCTCATCGGCTCACTGTTACAGGAGAGACAGGAAGTTATAGCCCGCATCGCACAGAGGCTCAACTTCTGCGACCCCACAGCGCCACCGCTTCCCCCAGCCCTTTTTGCCATGGACAACCCTCCCAAAGCCACGTGGGGCAGTAGCCATGACGACATAGCCGCCAGTAAGACCAAAGAGCCAGAGGTACCGCCCTATGAGTGTGTGGGACATGCTTGGCCAAACTCCTTCCACACACCATCCACCAGCACATCTTTCCACAAGCGGGAGACCTCCTCCCCGAAACCAGCTGCCTGCAGGAAGCTGAGGCTGACTGAGATGAGAGATGAGAGTACAGAGAGGGAGAAAGAGAGGGAGAAAGAGAAAAGCGTCGAGAAGGAGCGAGAGGGCTCACTCATCGCTCAGGCAGTGCACGACATTACTCGACTCATCCAGGAAAGACTCTCCGTCCCCTCACTGTCCCCCAGCCACAGCAGGTGTGGCAGCCCTTTGCACCACACACACACAACAACGGTCACGCACACGATACGCACATACCCGCACCACCCTGCACATGTCCCACACACCTCGCATGATGGCTACACTAATGGCCACAACCACGAACCTAACAGGGGCCCACACGCCGCTGCCCCACATATGCCTCTTTGCACAAACAAACCCCGGCTCGACCCGGGGACCGATTGCCATTCTCCTCGGGCCCAAAATGGCGCCCACTTTACACTTGAAGAACCTTCACTCAGAGGCCAGCTGCAAGCTAGTCCACGTTTACAAACTCCCAGACAAGAAAAGCTCACAGTCCATACAACCAGCAGTCATATTTTCCCTCCATCCCTCGAGAACGGGCCTAGAATTGTCCTGTCCTCCAACCAATCTTGCAAAGAATCCACATTCAGCTGTAATGCAGTCCAAAACCACAGCAAGCCTCAGTCACCCACACGGGCTGATGCTTCAACCCAAGATGAGAACCAAACACGTAGACAGTCTCCAGACCTGACCCCACGTACTACTGTCCTGGTAAGAGACCTTTGAATTGAGCTTTTGACCAACTCTGTCATCATGAAAATTCATTTGCAGGCTGTCAAGCCCAATCTTACACTACAGGTGGTGCTAAAACCACTGGTGGAGGCCATTCTACCTCTAATCAAAGGCCATAAGAAAGCCACTCCCAAAAGAGGTACAATGGTGAATTGAGGAAAATTTTATCATACTTGTGGGTCATGCCCTGTTTGATTGATGTTTTTATCACTAGCACAAAGAAGCACTATTTCTCTTTGGTCTGAAGTGTGCCACGCTGATACCACATGGGCGATCGCCTTGTCATTAAAACGTTGCAGTATCAAGTTAACCCCACTATTTGTAGACGCATGGGACTGAGCCCTGCTGAGAGAAGCGGGTATGCAAGTTCTTGATGCCATCCCCCAAAAATTGTTCAGCATTGCGTACAGATGCCAATCTGGTTCCAAAGCAATGCTGTTATTGTTTATGTGCATCAGCACAAAAAGAGCAAATAGTTTTTAAGCAAATAACGGAAGCAAATTCTGAATGCCCATCCACAAAAATGCAGAGAGTCACTGTACGGAGCTAGAAATAATTCAAAATAAACATAGGTGTTAGCTGATCCTGTTGCTATGCCACAGTCTCTACTTCGACACAGCTGTTCATTTTCTTGCTGCGTTCTCAGTTAAAATATGTCTTCTTACTGACAGGTAAATACAGGGCAACCTTGTTCTCATTCTGTTTCGCAGTTTCCAGCCATACGATTTGGAAGTATAAAAAAAACAAAAATCAACCGTATTGTACATCTGAGCCAAGCTGGAAATGTGCAGTGGAAAAAAACGAGAATAGTTCATTGGAGTCACTCATGAATATCACACTGAATTTGAAGCAAAACAAAAATTCATCTTGTGTGTCTGCATACTTTGATGGCATACTAAAGTGTAAGCATCAACAAGCAACAATTCCAGTTCCAGGATATGTAAAACTGTGACTTCAAACACAGTTTGCATGTGGGAAAAAGGTGGAGGAAATGCTTGAAATGTGTTTTTAAGAATAACTATTTGTGTTTATAGCGTTGACCAGGCAGGTAAAAAGTGGTAGTAAAAAATGATGCACGGTGCTTGAGAAAATGCTTTCAAAGACGATGCAGGTTTACTGCCAGATGCTTTAACCTCTGCTTCCTTCACTCTGTAGCAAACTCACGGACCCTCTCCCCTGGGGCCCTGCAACGGCTGGAGGAAGCAGAATCGCCACTCGTTAGATGCCACGGCGACCAAGGCCTTCCACCCCTGCACGGGTCTGCCCCTGCTCTCCAGCCCTGTACGAAATCACACACATACTCGCACCCTTTTGACAAATGTCTTAATGACTCAACTCACAGAGACTTTTTAACCATGATGAAGCCTCAGTAGTTCCAGTGTGTGTGCGCATGTGTCATAACACCGCACTCAGTAGCCATCTGTGACGTTACTCACAATGCAGTCATCACGAAGGAGACTTTGAAATATCTGGCAGGACTACCGAGTAGTTCGAGGATGATCACGCACATGCACATGCACACTCACCCTCTGGCGGCATGATTCACTCATACCTCTCAAAGTGAGGTAGCCGTGAGTCATATTACAATGACACTCCCATCTCGCTTACATCTGATTTCTAAAATGCACACCCGTACATGGATCCGAGCTATCTTTGTATTAAATCACACTTAAAGCAACATAACTTATGTATCATGTCCTTTGTGTCTCTGGCAGGTTCCCCAAAGGAAAAACCAATCTGGCTACTTTGACCTGGACACCTCTCTGGTTGGCTGTAAGGGTTTGCCTTGGGCCTCTGGAAAAAGGTACCCCTTGGATCTTTACTGTTAAATCCGCTTGACTTGTGTGCAGATTTGCTGCTTCTACACAGCAACTCAATGTATTAGGCCTGTAGACACGGTATAAAGACTTATCTCGACTGGCATCTTGGATGTCACAATGGAACAAAATGTGTTGGTCCTTGTTTCTTCTAGTCCTCCACCAGTTCTAAACCTGTGCTGAACATCTAAGCTGTGACAGCCAGAACAGAACTCTGCGAGCTCAGCAGCAACTGCCTACTCAGTGCACGTGTGGGCAGTGTGTGCTTCTCTGCCGCTTTCTATGCAGCAGCTACTTGCAAAGTTTAATCTTTGATTTTCAAATCAGTCATCATTGCATTACTATTTTCATAAAGGCACATCTGTGTCGCTTGCTTAATTTTTTTCCATCATCTGGAGAGCCTATCTGGAAACTGCTTTGTACATCAATGTATGAGGTTCTTTTACCTCAGCGGTTTTGGCTCAGAGAGTGTGTTACCTCATCACCATAAAATTCCATGACCTAGTGAACAGGTCAATCAAGTGTATGTGCATGTGTTTTAAACCCTCAGGGTGTGCCCTAAGGGAGACGAGTACACCGATGACGCTCAGCAGCTGTTCAGTGCAAGTGCTCCGCCTGCAAGTCTCAGTCTACTTGGAAACTTTGAGGTACAGCACCACCAACATTCACTGTATGCTATTGCTATAACTCATTTAATTCATTCGTGCTTTTTTTTATTCAATTAAAATCAGTTTCCATGCGTATTAATGAAACGTCTCTGACATTTTCTGTCGAAATGCACAAAAGATAAAGAATTATATAGCACGCTCTATATCCACTTGTCACACGCGTATGTTTCCTTTTGTTTTGAGTCAATAAGGTGCACACAGCCTTTACTGACATTGAACGTTAAGTGGTCTATGCACGACCTTTGGAGGCTCAACGGTAGTCTTGCTTTAACCTGCGCGGCATTTTGTCAACCTTTCTGGTCCTTTTGATCGAGAGTGTATGCACACATGAAATACAAAGCCCAATTGCCTGCACTCTGATTCCTCCCCGGTAACACGCCTCACAGTTTATTCACAGCAGCTTTGTAAATCAAGCAAGTAGGTTTGTGTGAGGCAGGCAAGTGGTAAGGTTATGGACACTCAACGATTTTTGGGCATTCAAATCCGTAGCGCAAATGCAGCCATTTTGTACATTTTGAGTGTAGGTAAATGGTGTGTTTGATGTGACAATTAATGGTCTTTTCAAATTGGACACTTGTCAGGAGTGTGTGTTAAACTACCGCCTGGAGCCTTTAGGATCGGTGGATGGCTTTACGGCCGAAGTAGGTGCTAGCGGGTCCTTCTGCCCCAGTCACCTGACCTTACCCGTGGACGTGTCATTCTACAGCGTCTCCGATGACAACGCCCCCTCACCTTATATGGTAAACATCTGTCATTGATTTGTCTGTACAATACACTGTCACAATTTGTTTTATATTCATAAGTTTGTTGTGAAAGGATTTTTGCTGTATATACTGTATGATATTGTATGACAATAAAAGTATTTCCTGAGAAAGTCATAAAATATCAACTCTACCGCCTCTAAAGGAATCTGTATTGTTCGCAGGGTGTGATCAACCTGGAGTCGCTGGGGAAAAGGGGCTATCGAGTACCTCCATCAGGAACCATTCAAGTGGTAATGGCACTGTTCAAATACTTGGGGGCGGGGTCTACTTTAATATTACATCAGCATAATTTTTCCAACTGAGTCCAGTGTCCAGAGCAAGTCGGGTGGTGGGAGACCCCTAGTGGTAGTGACACAATCAAAGCTTTGTTTGATCACATACGGAAAGTTGGACTCAAGTATACAGATAGCGCTGTACTACGGAAGCTTATTACTGCCACAGCAGGAAAAACAAATGTCAAAGTTATCATGTTAAAATATGAAACTTGTAAAGTTAAAATGTGAAAAATTGATTACGTTATTATGTAAAATTTATGTTAAAACGTTTTAAGTTTTGCTTCTGCATTGGCAGAGTCGTTTTTGTGTCTTAGAGCTACTTAATTATTGATAATGTGCAAAAAAATTATTACTGCCACAGCAGGAAAAACAAATGTCAAAGTTATCATGTTAAAATATGAAACTTGTAAAGTTAAAATGTGAAAAATTGATTACGTTATTATGTAAAATTTATGTTAAAACGTTTTAAGTTTTGCTTCTGCATTGGCAGAGTCGTTTTTGTGTCTTAGAGCTACTTAATTATTGATAATGTGCAAAAAAATATATATATATACACATAATAAGAAGAAGGCTAAATGTTTAAAAGGATTAAATATTTAAAATGAAAACTCACATATCTATGGAGGGCTCCACCAGTGATTTGAGCCCGAAGTAATTCCTTCGTTTTGTTCGGCTGAATATGGAAGCGAAACCTACCACAAAATAACATAACTTATTACGTGAAACTTGTCACATTAGTACGTGAAACTTTTTTTCTAGCATTGCAGCAATACACTTTTGTAAATTTACATCTGATGAAACTTATGAGTTAGGAAAGATTTAGACCCCCTTTCGCTCCCCGGACTCTTAACTCTACATCCCACCAAGACCCTCGGACAATTGTGTGCTTTCCATTTTTGCGGGAACATTGTGTAGAAGTTCATTGTGTGCTCCCAGTGCACATAGCAAGTTCCAAAAAGGCATATTTGGATGAATTTGGTGTGGAAGAAGCCTATCAAACACCTTTGGGATGAACTAGGACAGAGATTGTGGGCCAACAGCCCCTCACTGGTCCAAAAATCCCCACAGACACACTTCAACATTTGAAAGTCTTCCCAGACGAGTTGGGACTGTTCTAACTTCAAAAGGCAGAGAACCAACCTAATTTTTCTTCTATATTCACTTCGTGTCAGCGCAGTGACAAGGCTTCCTGATTCTTTTGTCCAAAAAGTGTAAATTATTTGTTCTGCAATAATATTTCAGCACGCAGTGAGATGCCGTGTGATATATCTCACACAATGTTCTCTGCCCACCGCAGACCTTATTCAACCCGAACAAGACGGTGGTAAAGATGTTTGTGGTGATGTACGACCTACGAACCATGCCAGCAGGACACCAGACCTTCCTGCGCCAGAGGACGTTCTCCGTCCCCGTCAGGCGGGACTCGAACCATCAGATCAACAGGAAGCCTCTCACTTTGGGCCAGGCACGCACTCTGCGCTACCTTGTTCATCTAAGGTGAGAAGCCTTTTCTAGATAAGCGCTCAAAGTATCTTGTGCATGACAAATCACTCATTAGACACCGCCCACCTTATAAAGGAGAAAATATGCATTGTTTGCACAATGTAAAGCATTTCCTCTGTGTCTTAATAAAATATAAAAGTTACTTGTAAAAAGGATAAAGAATTACAGCATACTTAATATCCACTTGTCATATTCTGGTTCAAATCACTCCGCTTTAACATGTGGTTTCATCTCTTGCAAATGGCGAGTACACCTTTTGTTACCGTGACAACTGGATTGGTGCTTGGGCACGATGAAAAAGGGAGCAGCTATTCGACGTTGCAACTTAGTAACTTTTGCACTATTCAGTATGTAGCGACTTGTCAAATCGCTCAAATTTTTCAAAATGTCAAGGTACAACAAATTTCGACACTATTTCAAGTGCCATCAACATAGCACCAGTATTGCTCCCAAGTCATAGATTTTCCTTGACCTCAGCACAAAAACACTGAGGACCTTTTAGACTCAATAATTATACATATTCTATGCATAATTAATCCAAACAAAGATTGTTGATTTGGACCTCATTGTGACATAACAAATACATGTGAAATCTCAGTTAATTGACAAAAGTGAGTTTCCAAAATTCTCACTTTGAATATGCGGGGGTCAACTGTGTAACCATAGCCCTCTGTACTGAGCACCAAGTCACAGAATTACACTTGTCAACTTGTGTAGCAACGTGGCGTATGACATCACCAGACAGAAAATATACCTTGCTGAACATTCGAGTGGGTGCTGCTTATCAGAGGCTACTGCTGATAATACTGGTGGCTAACTACCAGTCTTTTCGCGTTGACATCGCTTGGCAATGGCAGATCTTGGGAGGAGTTTGGTTTCTTTTATCGATGTGTGGTTATTATGAAAAATGTAATCTTCGCTTTCTTGCCACTAGGTTCCAGAGCTCAAAGTCTGGGAAGATCTACCTCCACAGGGACATCCGTCTGCTGTTTTCTAGGAAATCCATGGAGGTGGATAGCGGTGCTGCCTACGAGCTACAGTCATTTACTGAATCCCCCATCGACCCACCGTTCTCGCCTCGCTGCTGACGCTGGATTTACTCCCTCATACCCCCCCCGCCCCCGCCGTTCACTCATACCTCTCAAAGTGAGGTAGCCGTGAGTCATATTACAATGACACTCCCATCTCGCTTACATCTGATTTCTAAAATGCACACCCGTACATGGATCCGAGCTATCTTTGTATTAAATCACACTTAAAGCAACATAACTTATGTATCATGTCCTTTGTGTCTCTGGCAGGTTCCCCAAAGGAAAAACCAATCTGGCTACTTTGACCTGGACACCTCTCTGGTTGGCTGTAAGGGTTTGCCTTGGGCCTCTGGAAAAAGGTACCCCTTGGATCTTTACTGTTAAATCCGCTTGACTTGTGTGCAGATTTGCTGCTTCTACACAGCAACTCAATGTATTAGGCCTGTAGACACGGTATAAAGACTTATCTCGACTGGCATCTTGGATGTCACGATGGAACAAAATGTGTTGGTCCTTGTTTCTTCTAGTCCTCCACCAGTTCTAAACCTGTGCTGAACATCTAAGCTGTGACAGCCAGAACAGAACTCTGCGAGCTCAGCAGCAACTGCCTACTCAGTGCACGTGTGGGCAGTGTGTGCTTCTCTGCCGCTTTCTATGCAGCAGCTACTTGCAAAGTTTAATCTTTGATTTTCAAATCAGTCATCATTGCATTACTATTTTCATAAAGGCACATCTGTGTCGCTTGCTTAATTTTTTTCCATCATCTGGAGAGCCTATCTGGAAACTGCTTTGTACATCAATGTATGAGGTTCTTTTACCTCAGCGGTTTTGGCTCAGAGAGTGTGTTACCTCATCACCATAAAATTCCATGACCTAGTGAACAGGTCAATCAAGTGTATGTGCATGTGTTTTAAACCCTCAGGGTGTGCCCTAAGGGAGACGAGTACACCGATGACGCTCAGCAGCTGTTCAGTGCAAGTGCTCCGCCTGCAAGTCTCAGTCTACTTGGAAACTTTGAGGTACAGCACCACCAACATTCACTGTATGCTATTGCTATAACTCATTTAATTCATTCGTGCTTTTTTTTATTCAATTAAAATCAGTTTCCATGCGTATTAATGAAACGTCTCTGACATTTTCTGTCGAAATGCACAAAAGATAAAGAATTATATAGCACGCTCTATATCCACTTGTCACACGCGTATGTTTCCTTTTGTTTTGAGTCAATAAGGTGCACACAGCCTTTACTGACATTGAACGTTAAGTGGTCTATGCACGACCTTTGGAGGCTCAACGGTAGTCTTGCTTTAACCTGCGCGGCATTTTGTCAACCTTTCTGGTCCTTTTGATCGAGAGTGTATGCACACATGAAATACAAAGCCCAATTGCCTGCACTCTGATTCCTCCCCGGTAACACGCCTCACAGTTTATTCACAGCAGCTTTGTAAATCAAGCAAGTAGGTTTGTGTGAGGCAGGCAAGTGGTAAGGTTATGGACACTCAACGATTTTTGGGCATTCAAATCCGTAGCGCAAATGCAGCCATTTTGTACATTTTGAGTGTAGGTAAATGGTGTGTTTGATGTGACAATTAATGGTCTTTTCAAATTGGACACTTGTCAGGAGTGTGTGTTAAACTACCGCCTGGAGCCTTTAGGATCGGTGGATGGCTTTACGGCCGAAGTAGGTGCTAGCGGGTCCTTCTGCCCCAGTCACCTGACCTTACCCGTGGACGTGTCATTCTACAGCGTCTCCGATGACAACGCCCCCTCACCTTATATGGTAAACATCTGTCATTGATTTGTCTGTACAATACACTGTCACAATTTGTTTTATATTCATAAGTTTGTTGTGAAAGGATTTTTGCTGTATATACTGTATGATATTGTATGACAATAAAAGTATTTCCTGAGAAAGTCATAAAATATCAACTCTACCCCCTCTAAAGGAATCTGTATTGTTCGCAGGGTGTGATCAACCTGGAGTCGCTGGGGAAAAGGGGCTATCGAGTACCTCCATCAGGAACCATTCAAGTGGTAATGGCACTGTTCAAATACTTGGGGGCGGGGTCTACTTTAATATTACATCAGCATAATTTTTCCAACTGAGTCCAGTGTCCAGAGCAAGTCGGGTGGTGGGAGACCCCTAGTGGTAGTGACACAATCAAAGCTTTGTTTGATCACATACGGAAAGTTGGACTCAAGTATACAGATAGCGCTGTACTACGGAAGCTTATTACTGCCACAGCAGGAAAAACAAATGTCAAAGTTATCATGTTAAAATATGAAACTTGTAAAGTTAAAATGTGAAAAATTGATTACGTTATTATGTAAAATTTATGTTAAAACGTTTTAAGTTTTGCTTCTGCATTGGCAGAGTCGTTTTTGTGTCTTAGAGCTACTTAATTATTGATAATGTGCAAAAAAATATATATATATACACATAATAAGAAGAAGGCTAAATGTTTAAAAGGATTAAATATTTAAAATGAAAACTCACATATCTATGGAGGGCTCCACCAGTGATTTGAGCCCGAAGTAATTCCTTCGTTTTGTTCGGCTGAATATGGAAGCGAAACCTACCACAAAATAACATAACTTATTACGTGAAACTTGTCACATTAGTACGTGAAACTTTTTTTCTAGCATTGCAGCAATACACTTTTGTAAATTTACATCTGATGAAACTTATGAGTTAGGAAAGATTTAGACCCCCTTTCGCTCCCCGGACTCTTAACTCTACATCCCACCAAGACCCTCGGACAATTGTGTGCTTTCCATTTTTGCGGGAACATTGTGTAGAAGTTCATTGTGTGCTCCCAGTGCACATAGCAAGTTCCAAAAAGGCATATTTGGATGAATTTGGTGTGGAAGAAGCCTATCAAACACCTTTGGGATGAACTAGGACAGAGATTGTGGGCCAACAGCCCCTCACTGGTCCAAAAATCCCCACAGACACACTTCAACATTTGAAAGTCTTCCCAGACGAGTTGGGACTGTTCTAACTTCAAAAGGCAGAGAACCAACCTAATTTTTCTTCTATATTCACTTCGTGTCAGCGCAGTGACAAGGCTTCCTGATTCTTTTGTCCAAAAAGTGTAAATTATTTGTTCTGCAATAATATTTCAGCACGCAGTGAGATGCCGTGTGATATATCTCACACAATGTTCTCTGCCCACCGCAGACCTTATTCAACCCGAACAAGACGGTGGTAAAGATGTTTGTGGTGATGTACGACCTACGAACCATGCCAGCAGGACACCAGACCTTCCTGCGCCAGAGGACGTTCTCCGTCCCCGTCAGGCGGGACTCGAACCATCAGATCAACAGGAAGCCTCTCACTTTGGGCCAGGCACGCACTCTGCGCTACCTTGTTCATCTAAGGTGAGAAGCCTTTTCTAGATAAGCGCTCAAAGTATCTTGTGCATGACAAATCACTCATTAGACACCGCCCACCTTATAAAGGAGAAAATATGCATTGTTTGCACAATGTAAAGCATTTCCTCTGTGTCTTAATAAAATATAAAAGTTACTTGTAAAAAGGATAAAGAATTACAGCATACTTAATATCCACTTGTCATATTCTGGTTCAAATCACTCCGCTTTAACATGTGGTTTCATCTCTTGCAAATGGCGAGTACACCTTTTGTTACCGTGACAACTGGATTGGTGCTTGGGCACGATGAAAAAGGGAGCAGCTATTCGACGTTGCAACTTAGTAACTTTTGCACTATTCAGTATGTAGCGACTTGTCAAATCGCTCAAATTTTTCAAAATGTCAAGGTACAACAAATTTCGACACTATTTCAAGTGCCATCAACATAGCACCAGTATTGCTCCCAAGTCATAGATTTTCCTTGACCTCAGCACAAAAACACTGAGGACCTTTTAGACTCAATAATTATACATATTCTATGCATAATTAATCCAAACAAAGATTGTTGATTTGGACCTCATTGTGACATAACAAATACATGTGAAATCTCAGTTAATTGACAAAAGTGAGTTTCCAAAATTCTCACTTTGAATATGCGGGGGTCAACTGTGTAACCACAGCCCTCTGTACTGAGCACCAAGTCACAGAATTACACTTGTCAACTTGTGTAGCAACGTGGCGTATGACATCACCAGACAGAAAATATACCTTGCTGAACATTCGAGTGGGTGCTGCTTATCAGAGGCTACTGCTGATAATACTGGTGGCTAACTACCAGTCTTTTCGCGTTGACATCGCTTGGCAATGGCAGATCTTGGGAGGAGTTTGGTTTCTTTTATCGATGTGTGGTTATTATGAAAAATGTAATCTTCGCTTTCTTGCCACTAGGTTCCAGAGCTCAAAGTCTGGGAAGATCTACCTCCACAGGGACATCCGTCTGCTGTTTTCTAGGAAATCCATGGAGGTGGATAGCGGTGCTGCCTACGAGCTACAGTCATTTACTGAATCCCCCATCGACCCACCGTTCTCGCCTCGCTGCTGACGCTGGATTTACTCCCTCATACCCCCCCCCCCTTTCTCCACCTGGCAGGCCATAGCCGCACCTCCATGCCAGCCATGAGTCATTGTATCAGCCTGTGATTTGTATTGGATGAGAGATTGAAGGACAGCAGATGATGGAGTGCACCCGCATCTGGGACGCTTGTTAGAAGGAAATTCTCTGTTGACGTGCATGAACTTTGTTTTGACTCACAGCTGGAGTGTGCAGGGTTTTGAGGTCCTGCTAGAAAATGCCTTAAAATATTTAAAAGGTAATCCTTGATGTTTGTGTATCCCCCCCGCCTCCTGCGTCTGGCAGGAGAGTCGAGACCAATGATTGTCCACAGGACCAGTTGGACTCAATAATTCTGCACAGTCTGTGCAACAGTCCCCAAACAAGATTGTTGATTTGGACCTCATTGTGACAGAATTAATTCATGTTGAATCTCAGTTACTTGACAAATGCAATACATGGCCTTTTGAATGAGGAAAAAATAACTTAGCTTGTTGACTTGCAGGCAAAAAAGATTAATTTGGACTCAATAGCCCCTTTTACACTGCCTGGTTCCAACGGCATTTTGCTACCTTTTATTTAATACTGTATCCCACTTAATTGGATTTTGTGTAAAAAAAAAAAAGATGTTAGATGCGGAAATTTTGCAGAATCTGTTTAAAAGAGGCTAATGATTCCCGACGTTGGAGCAGCACCTGTGTCGCCGAATGAGAAGAAATGGGCTGCAGCGGACCACCTTGCTGTCATCCACCCCACTGCCCCCACCTCCATCTCAAAAAACAAACAAAAGGACCACCGAAGACGTCAACCATGCAATCACACCGAATTAAAGTGAACCGATCGCGACAGAAATCATCAAGAAATGCACTGTGGATTCACCCCCCCCCCCTGTCCAAACTGGAAAAGAAAGCGAAAAATTATTGTCAGATTTCTTTTTGTACTGTTACAAAAACCACTTTGTTGGAAGTGTTGCAATAGAGAAAGAATAACCGTACTTTTAAGTGTTTACTTTCAGTTTACCTAACCATCCTGTTTATTTAATATTTAAATTAATATTTCAGTTTCTATTTGTGATGTCTGTCATGCCGAGATGATTTAGTGTAAACTGTATATCATAGTATTTTTGACATTAATATTCAAATCTGAAAAAATATATCTATCTTCGAAAGCCATCTTTAAATCTGCTCTTGTCTCTGTCATTTTTTCCTGACAGGATTGATAAATCAGTTAGCAGTAATTATAATTTCCCACTTTCTGCATTTTTAAACTAGTACACGAAATAATTTCACACATGCTTTAGCTAATAAGCTAACAATCATTTTACAACTAAAGGAACATCTTTACTGTGCGATAAAAAATTCGATTTCAAAAATAAATGTCTTGACAGACAGGTTCTAAAGAATCTCATTATTATTATGAAGCAATACAAAAATCTGTCACGGTGGACTTTGATGTGACCGACAGGTTTTTGAACAGTGGCCAGTGCGATGAACTACATCTTCTCCTTTCGGCACGTCCCTATTCAGGGGTCCTTATGTTTGTGTTTAATTCATTCAAGTGATTTTTTTTAAAGAATCCTAAGGTGCAATATGATGGCTGTGATGACGCAGCAGCAGAGGATTTGGAAAGAATTGTGTCACAGAGTCCTGGAATTCTTCTGGCATTTCCATCCATCCATCTATCTTCTAATCCGCTTTTCCTCACGCTGGTCATGGGTGTGCTGGAGCCTATCCCAGCTGTCTTCGGGCAGTAGGCGGGGGACACCCTCAACCGGTTGCCAGCCAATCGCATGGCACACATAGAAAAACATTCACTCTCACAATCACACTGAATGACAATTTAGAGTCCTCCATTGGCCTGCCATGTATGTTTTTGCAATATGGGAGGAAACCGGAGTACCCGGAGAAAACCCATGCATGCACGGGGAGAACATGTGAACTCCACACAGGAAGGCCAGAGTCGGCATCGAACCCCGCACCTCTGCACTGTGAGGCGGTCGTGCGAACCAATCTCATTGTGTTGCCCACTTCTCGGATATGACGACGGCAGAACAGACAATAGCCAAGATGGATTCGCGTGTCCCACAGGCTTTTGGATGCTGGCCAGTTGCTTGAAAAACTGAAATGTATTCGTGCCTGTTTCATACAAGTATAAATTTATATATAATGTAGTATAAATAAAAATTACACACATATATGTGTATCTGTTTTATAGTGATTCTTGGTCACAAGCGGCACATGCGCCAAACAGCTGATCAGCAGTTACGCAACTTTCTAAAAAATTTAAATCCTTTCCAACGCGACAAAGATGTGAGCGCGCACGGTGTCTCCGTCAATGACGTTGCACGAGTTGCGGCGGCGCGCGGCTTCCTCCTGAGAGTCAGGCAGTGCCAGAGAACACCGGCGGTCGCTCACGCACTCTCCCGCTCAGGAGGTCCACTTGGCAACATTTGAGCGGCCTCTTTCCTGTAGGCAACGCGGACACTGACCAATGTCGGACGGCAACGAAGACGTCCCGGCGTCCGAGGAGACGCTGGTGGAAGAGCAGGTACGTAAAGTGGCCGTTTATGACGACCCGCTAATGTAGGGGTAAATAGGCGGGAGCGCGGTTGACTTTGTTACGAGTGCTAGCTTTCACGCTAAGGGTAGCCCGTTCCCCCCCGTTTATTATTAACATAGTTCATTTCAGTATTAATTGATTACACTGTATATGTATTGATATCTACTGACTTGTTGCTCTCGTGAGACGAATACATGTCCGATGGGGTTTGTGGAGGACTAACGGGAGCTAATGTTAGCAAGCTAACCAGCTGTCATGACATTCTGGGGGAAAAAGGTTAGCTTCAGAGCTAACACGGTCCCCGCCCGTGCAGACAGCCTTGGCCTATAATAATATATTTACTTTCACCCAAAACACTCTTAGCTTGAATACGCATTTGACGTTCTTCAAACCAACCGGCCCTCACACTTTTAATCACACCAGAGCGGCTTTTGACAGCACGTTTAGCAGTCCGACCCGACGTTTGGTAGCCTCCCGCAAGCTAGCTCTACTGATTTTGACGAGTATTAAAGCATTGTCGAGCATACGTCACTCACGCTCATGTTGATCTTTTGCTATCACTTGATGAAATGTGATACATTCAGCCCCAATTATCCGTGGACCAAGGCCGCCGTTAATAGCAAAAAATAAAATAAAATAAATCGCGAATAGTGGATTCTCCCTACCCTAAAAACATTTCTACGTGCCAATAGTATTTCAAATCTCTAATAAAAGCCAAACGTTGCATTATGTGGGAAATAGGTGAGTTGCTCCAATTTCAAAAGAAAATGGTTCCATTGCAGAGGACTAGGAAAACAAAATTATTGTTATATGTTGAGAGGTTAAAAAATGCTGTGCTTTTTTAAAATTGGTAATTGACACCTTAAAAAGGCTAGTTATGGAGCCTTTTGTGACATTCCCCATCTTTATTAACAATAAGTTCGAACAATGAATCAAATTCAATAAATATCGCTCTGTAGTAGAATTAGAAACTCGTCGATCGATCGTTGGCTGATAATTATCGATCTATTATATTCATGAAAAATTGCGGGATCAGTCAATCTAATTAAAGCCTCTCAAGGCCAATGGATCACCCTATGTATATAATTGTTCTTGTCAGGGAATTATATATTTCTATAATCTCTATGATAAAAATTACTCTTATCTATCTTGCGACGTACAGAAAAGTTTTAATAAATAAGTTCACCACGTTTGAGTCGACAGTGTTACCCTGACCAGCAAATTGAATTTTTTTTTTTTTTTTTTTTTTTAAAGGTATAATCCTTTGCTTCGTCGATTTATATTTTATGTGTTGTATTTCAGGAGGTTCAGGACAAAATGATCAATCCAGAGAAAGCAGAGGAGGCCAAACTGAAGGCCAGATACCCAAACTTGGGGAATAAACCTGGTGGCTCCGATCTACTTCGTAAACGCCTACAGAAGGGGGTAAACATCTTTTTGATGATATTGTAACCTTTCAAAGTAGTTATTTCAACTTTAAATTCATCTGTAGTGTTTCCTATCATTTATGGGTGGATCTTTCAAATGTTTTATTGTTCCTCATGCAAGTATTTGGTTTTGGTTTGGCTAAAGACTGACGCCATATTTCATATGCTCCAGAATGATTTTATAAATCAACAATTTATAAAAATAATCTGTCAATTAAGACTTGTCACTTTATCCTCATGATTACTTTAATCTTGAAAATTAGTTTTTTTTTCTCCTTAAATTAACAACTCCCCAAAATACAATTTATTTTCAGAAAAAATAATCTTTGTCATCCATCCAACCAGCCTTTATTTGTTCAAATATCCCATTGAGATTCAAGATGTTATCTTCATTTAGACCTGGCCAAGATTACACACACTTTATTTTCATATTGACTTTGATTTTGAAAATATATTTTTATGAACTAAAGAGTAAGATTTAAGATTAAGACCAGGGGTCTCCAAACTCGGTGTGTAAGGGCCACTGTCCTCCCTGTTTATTATGTCTCCCTACTCCAACATACCTGATTCAAAGGATCATCTTATCAGCAAGCTCTGAAGAAGCCTCGTAACGATGGTGATCCTTTGAATCAGGTGTGTTGGAGGAGGAGACATACGAAAACAGGTCGGACAGCGGCCCTCGAGGACTGGAGATGGAAAAGCCTTCTTAAAACAAATATATGATTCCCTTATTATGTACAGCTTTTTTTTCACAAAGATATACAGCGTTTTATCCCAAAACTGACTCGTTTCATAAGATTATAACATCTTACCGGTTTTTGTTTTTTTCCCCCTTTTTTTCAGTGTGGCTTGAGATGCTTAGACGTACGGTGGAAAAGTGCCGATATTTTAATGGGGAAAGTCAAGTGAAAAATATTCTTCACAATATGTTCTTTGCAACCCCACGAGTCTCTGCATGGCATTAAGATTTGCATTTGGGGAATATGAATTAAGCAGCAAAATCCACCCGTTTTTATCAATCTGTTTTCTGGTTTTGGGAATGGTAATTTCGCAAGTGGAGCCGTGATTGGTCGTTAGTCGAGCCCTGAGCAACTATGATGTCATTTGCAGTTCACAGCAAGTGGCAAAATGGCCATTTGGGTGGATTTTGTTGCTTACTTTATATTCCACAAATGTAATATTAATCAGAATGCTCTGTTTCGAGTAGTAGGGGCACATAGAACATAGAAAAAACTGTTTTGATTTGACTTTCCCTTTCAAGTTTCAATTGTCGCTTTCACTGATTGTTATCTCCCTCCTGTTTCCCAGCAAAAGTACTTTGATTCAGGCGACTACAACATGGCCAAAGCCAAGATTAAGAACAAGCAGCTGCCGACAGCGGCAGCACCCCGTTGTTCCTCATGCAAGTATTTGGTTTTGGTTTGGCTAAAGACTGACGCCATATTTCATATGCTCCAGAATGATTTTATAAATCAACAATTTATAAAAATAATCTGTCAATTAAGACTTGTCACTTTATCCTCATGATTACTTTAATCTTGAAAATTAGTTTTTTTTTCTCCTTAAATTAACAACTCCCCAAAATACAATTTATTTTCAGAAAAAATAATCTTTGTCATCCATCCAACCAGCCTTTATTTGTTCAAATATCCCATTGAGATTCAAGATGTTATCTTCATTTAGACCTGGCCAAGATTACACACACTTTATTTTCATATTGACTTTGATTTTGAAAATATATTTTTATGAACTAAAGAGTAAGATTTAAGATTAAGACCAGGGGTCTCCAAACTCGGTGTGTAAGGGCCACTGTCCTCCCTGTTTATTATGTCTCCCTACTCCAACATACCTGATTCAAAGGATCATCTTATCAGCAAGCTCTGAAGAAGCCTCGTAACGATGGTGATCCTTTGAATCAGGTGTGTTGGAGGAGGAGACATACGAAAACAGGTCGGACAGCGGCCCTCGAGGACTGGAGATGGAAAAGCCTTCTTAAAACAAATATATGATTCCCTTATTATGTACAGCTTTTTTTTCACAAAGATATACAGCGTTTTATCCCAAAACTGACTCGTTTCATAAGATTATAACATCTTACCGGTTTTTGTTTTTTTTCCCCCTTTTTTTCAGTGTGGCTTGAGATGCTTAGACGTACGGTGGAAAAGTGCCGATATTTTAATGGGGAAAGTCAAGTGAAAAATATTCTTCACAATATGTTCTTTGCAACCCCACGAGTCTCTGCATGGCATTAAGATTTGCATTTGGGGAATATGAATTAAGCAGCAAAATCCACCCGTTTTTATCAATCTGTTTTCTGGTTTTGGGAATGGTAATTTCGCAAGTGGAGCCGTGATTGGTCGTTAGTCGAGCCCTGAGCAACTATGATGTCATTTGCAGTTCACAGCAAGTGGCAAAATGGCCATTTGGGTGGATTTTGTTGCTTACTTTATATTCCACAAATGTAATATTAATCAGAATGCTCTGTTTCGAGTAGTAGGGGCACATAGAACATAGAAAAAACTGTTTTGATTTGACTTTCCCTTTCAAGTTTCAATTGTCGCTTTCACTGATTGTTATCTCCCTCCTGTTTCCCAGCAAAAGTACTTTGATTCAGGCGACTACAACATGGCCAAAGCCAAGATTAAGAACAAGCAGCTGCCGACAGCGGCAGCACCCGAGAAGACCGAGATTACGGGGGACCACATCCCCACCCCCCAGGACCTGCCCCAGAGGAAACCCTCCCTGGTGGCCAGTAAACTGGCAGGCTGATGGCGCCCTGCTTGCACCCCCATCTACTCAAGAGCTTGTAAAATTATTTCTCCTGTCCCCTCACAGGACCACCCGTTTAGCCACTCAGCAAGAATGCCTTGCTACCTTTCAAATTCTCTTTACCTTTCCCAGACGCCAGCGGCTGCTTTCCTGTTCTTGTCTCCCACCCTCATTGCCCCCTCCTTGCCATGTATATTTCCATTTGTCTCTTATTCTTCTCATGTAAGATACACTGAAAGACAGTACGTCAATGAGAGCTAAATGCCCCAAGGCGTGGAAGTGTGTGTTTGTGTATATAGTATATTTCATTTTGTTAGGCAGGAGGGCAGACATCAGCTTTGTCGTATTTTGCGTCCCACTTGTATTGTATTTTTGCCTCAATCCAGTGTTTTTTCCCAATTTAGAAATCTAGTTTTTCTCTAGATTCCGAACTTTCTGAAACACATCGTACAATTAAACCTCGGTTCACAAGTAAGTCCGTCCACAAAAAAATGTTTGAAGAAATATTACCTAGGTTTTACCCACTGTGTGTTTGGTTGATTAACATACGTGGCATCAATGCGAAACGCTCAGTTGTGCTTTCTTGCACACATCGTGAATGTCGGCTGTTTGATGAAGCCACCAAAACTGCCTTTGGCACAGGCACCCAACAAAAAAGTCGTTTTTGAAAGAAAAAGGTAATCCCAAAATGGAACCTGCTTGTTGAAGAGCAGCGAGGGCAAGGCTCTCATGAATCACAACAAATAGATTCAGCATAATTGTGAGTTGAATATGTAATCAGTCATTTTTTTTGTTTCAATTCTGGGCTGTCAAATTATGACAGTGTGAAACCGGTCCTTGGTACAAATAAAATTTGGGGACTGCGAATGTTGGGCCCCAGATTAAAAAAAAAAATCGGTAGGATACACACACGTGCAGAAATTACGGCATTTTCAGAATTGTTGAGGCACCCTCAAAAATTCCTGGAAAGAATAAAGTAATTGCAAGAAGGTCTCACATACCGAGGGCTAAACTCATGGCAAAGGATGCAAGATAAACGATTCAAAGTGGGAGCAGGAATGTTGCCTTCAGCGTCATGATTAAGAGGTCCCTTTTAGCTCAAGAGATTCTCCTTTCCCATGGGCCAGAATGTAGGATGTAGCTTTGCGCTAATCACACACTCTCCCATGCTGTGATCAATTACCAGGGTCCACATTGATGAAGTTTACCCTCAGAGTGAGCTAAATCCCAGCTAGCATCTGATCTGTCTGAGCTGTGCATGTATATGGCTGCCCTCCTGTTATTTTGTGCCATTTTGTTATGTAAATAAAATAGTTTTGCACAAAAGTTTAATAGCCATATTGTCTCCCCACCACCCCCACCCCCTGCTCACTTCTGCTCCTTTTAGATCATAAAATACTTAAAGTTAACAAGGAAGGGAATAGCTTGTTACTATTGAGTGAATGAAGGAGTCCTACAGGGATCAGCTCTGGCGTTGTTTCTGTAACCCATTGGTCAAGCGCTCCAAGTATTCTGTCTTTTGATGTGTTGCTTTAAAGTCAGTCTCCCCGAGCATAATGAGCAGTGCATTGGGTTTCTGCAGGTGCTCCCGTTTCCTTCCACTTGCCAAAAACATGTAAAGATGACTGAAGATTGAATTGTTCCAAGGTGTGATTGTGAATGTGTGCATTCATGTGCCTGGCAATCAACCCAGAGGAAACTCAAATACCCTGAAGATCACCCACAACCCTAATGAGGACGCACTTGATTTGTGTGAAATTTATTTGGACATTATTGAGAAATGTCAGTTTTGCATGGAATTTGATAGATGCGTGCTGGATCAGAATCAATCCAGTTTCAATCACATCTGATTGCCCAAATTATAAAATTTCGGTGCCATTGATTTAATCATCAGTTTATTTTTTTTTTGTCAGCTATTTAAAATTGTTCCGCGATCTCATTAAAGCCACCGGTGAGCTGGAGCCTATCCCAGCTGACTTTCAGCAAAAGGCCGCATACATCCTGGACTGGTTACCAGCCACTGCATATACTGGAAGTCATAAAAAAAAAAAAAAAAACCTAAACATTTCAAATATTCATGATTCACCTACTCGTGGATGTTGATTCAATATTTTGTTATACTGTACTGTATATATAATTTTGGGGGGGCGGGGAAATGTAGGCAGTTCCATTTGTCATGCAAAACACTATTGGTGGTTTATCAGGTTTTTTTATTTAGTACAGTATATTTTTTTATGCTATGCATTTTCAATGGCAATTAATTATTCTCGGATTTTTGCGATAAGCAAGAAAATTACTCGGTCTTAAATCGTGGAAGATTGAGCCACTCAATCTCACATTACATACACATTTTACCGTGTGCATGGCTGAATAGTACATCAGTGCCGTATAAAGTTTGCCACTTGATATCCATCCATCTGCTTATCGTCACAAGGGTCGCGGGGTGTGACTATCCCAGCTGTCTTCGAGCAGTAAGCGGGGAAGACACTGACCTGGTTGCAGACGAACATTACAATCCGCCCTCACTAACACCTAGGAACAATTTGGAGTGTTCCATTAACCTGACACGCTGGCACGGAAAAAACATGCGAACTCCACACTGGAAGGCCGGAGCCCCAATCGAACCCTGCACCTCTGCACTGTTGAGGCCGACGCGCTAACCGGTGGTCTCTGCCACTTGGTATATTCTCCAATACTAGTACCGTGGAAGTGATTCCACAAAATCCACAGTCATAACGGCCCTCCAAGGGAAACCGTAACTGCAATGTGGCCCGCGACAAAATTGAGTTTGACACCTCTGACTTTGAATGGTTTCGGAACGGATAGTCAACGCAACGCTGCAGTCGCCCAGTTCTGCTTGTAGTTCAGCCCGCCACCACCCAGTGTCACCGTTTCCTCGTGGAACATGTACGCTTTTCCTCTTTTTGGGGGGGGGGGCTTGATTTCATCCATCATACCCAGAATGCAAAGTGAAATAGCCGAACCTCAGTAGCCTTGCTCCAGCTTTCTTTTTGAGCTTTATCATGACCAGGAGGGACCCAGAAACCCTGAGACACAAACACACACACTAAACGGCGACGTGGTCCGCCTCATGAGAACGCACGACGAGTCCCATGCAGCTCGGACAGGCGGTCGACTTTTAGCACCGATTGGCGTGAGCTCGTAGCGGCTGTCATGGCAGCGTCGGAGCTGTACACAAAGGTAAGCAAAGACAATTGAAAGCGAGCCGGGACGGGTTGACGTTGCATGCCGACTTCCCCCAAAACGTGTGTCTTTTGCAGCTAAAATGAATGAAAACGTCACTTCCAGCCCGAACAAGGCGGCTTTTAATGTCGTGCCAATATTGATCGGTTGCTAAGCGAAGGTGCATCAAAGGCATTGCTAATGTAAAGCTGGCACAAGATGACTTCTATTTTTATCGAACCTGATTTAATCCATCTTGAATCATACCTCTGCAATGGGTGTCACCTTTATTGTTTACCATGAATATGTCATTCATTGCCGGCCCAGAAGTGGCATCATGGGCTGGGTGATGCAAAGGCGGTGCCTGCCGTCACTGAAACGCAGGTTTGGGTTTTTTTCCACCCTAAGACTGAAGTAACTCCCATTACTGTTTACTTCGTTATTGTTGACGTAATCTCGTATAAAATGGAGTGTGGGAAGGTTTTCTAAATCGTATGTGTTGCGTGGGTACCGACGAGCTGATGCTCCAAAACGCTCCATCCGAGCATGCTTGTTGTCGTGGATTGGGGAGGCAGAATAAGGCCTTGACACTTTCGAGCTGCTTCCATGTTTATTTAGTATTATTGTTTTATGTGAGCACTCCGCTTGATGGCATTATTTTGTCAGTGGCTTATTGTATTTTAATATTTATTTTCCGTATTTTCCCCCCCACAAATATTATTTTTTCAAAAATATTTATTTCGATTTTTCATCTCATCGTTTTTTTTTCATTATTCTTTTCCCCTAATATTATTTAAATATATTTGTTTACTTTCCGTCTAATCTTTAACCTAATATTTTTATATGTCATCCACTTTATATTTGTCTAATTTTCTCATTTTAAAATATTTTTTCATCAAATATTTTGGCATTGTCTGTCTACTTTTGAATATTTTAGTTTTTTGTCTTGTAACATTTTCCACAAGATATGTTTTCCGAATATTTGTACCCCTCCTCATGTATATGCCTTATATTTTTCTTATTATTGTCTGGATTTTGGAGGGTGGGTTTTTTTTCCCCAGCGTTTTTGTATTTCCTCCTATATTTTCAATATTTTTATATTTTTCTGCTTGGTATTTTCCCCTCAGTATTTTTTTTACCCAACATTTGAGGATTTTTCAATTTTTTTTTTGTCTTTTCCCTTGTTTGTCCTAATATTCTCTCAATATTAGTGTATTTTTCCATCCAATATTATAGTATTCTTTGTTGAATATTTTACTTTGTGTGGTATTTCTATGTAAAAAATGTGGCGTGTGTGTTTGGAGCTGAGTCCCCCACCCCCCTTGCCTTGACAGCTGTTGTCATTGTTTTGATGCGGCAGAGGGAACCTGCGTTTGTCTTTTAGCAATTTATGCTTAAAAGCTGCACCATTGTGAACCACGGAATCTCTGAGGCTTAAGTTATCTCGTTTTATGGCATATGATGAGGTTTTGTCAGGAGGTTTGTCTGACGTGCGCAGTCGTTTTGGTACCAGCAAGATGCTGAGACCAAGCATCACATCCGGACACTCGAGCATCCCTTTCATGTTAACACCCTTGTTGCCGCTTTGTTCTTGGCTTGGACTAAGCAGAGAGAGAGAGGAACCGACGCCTGATGGATGAGGCATATTACAGTCAGGCTACGCAAGGTCACTTGTGTGTGTTTATATTTGTGTTTGTGCGTGAACGTGTGCCCGTCTCTGCATTTGTGTGTGTGCGCACGTGTCAAGTCACCCATCCCCCGCCTGCTTTGACGGCTGTCGTCATGTTTTGTTGCGGAAAACCATACTCCCCATTGGCCAAGCAGTATGTGGGGCGGGATGAGGGCTGGCTCACTTGCATGAGTCAGGGCCAAGCTCTTAAAACATGCAGATTTCTGTGAGACAAGAAGCGGGATGTGTAAATAGTAATATGCAGCTCAGTCTTGATCCCCGATGTAAAGCATGCTGCAGACATGGTCTTAAGACACATGAGAACTGTTTTGACTTGTCAGCAATGTATTTGTATTTTTTCCCCCGAATTAGATATTTTTGTCCAATATTTCTGTACTTTTCATTTAATATTTTGGGTGTTTTCCCCCCATAATTTAGTATGTTATTCTAATATGGTATTTTAGAAAAAAATTTAAATATGAATCGTTCATCTAAATTTTGGTATTTTTGTTTAACATGTATGTACTTTTTGTGGAATAATTTTGTATATTTTTTTTCCCATAACTTTTTCATCCTATTTTGAGCATTGTTGCTTTGGCTTGTGTAACTGTCGCTAACATTTTGACTTCAGCAAATCTATGATGCATTTCTTTTAACAGCATCGCAGTAATACTGATAATGTCACAATATTGTTTTTGAAATATTCATGTGATTCATCTCTGTTAAAATGCCGTAACGCGAGACGTCAGCGAATTGCGCAAGACCTCAGTTTAGAGAGCACCACTACCACACATCCCCTTCATTTACTTAGATTGTGATTTGACATTACTCATGAATGGCTGGAAACAAGTTAGTTGGAAGAAGCACGTACAATAACAACATGAAGGGTCCCAGGACATTACCTTGGGGGACATTTCAACCACTCAATCATGTATATTGACCAAATCCTGTGACTTCATTCAATTTGAGTGCTTTTTTTTTTTTTTGTCATTTCTGTCTAGTTCTTGCTGCTATTAACTATTTAGCGATAGTTAGTGTACAGAATAATATTTTTTGTATAAAAATACACCACTTTATTCTCCTGCTCACCAAATTAACCGTGGCAGCTCATTTATTTATTTATTTATTTTTTTAAGAGAAGCTAAATGGCTCCGTTCCGGGTCTGCAAACACAGCGTTCCGTGTTGGTGGGGCTTTTCAATGGCGCTGTGTCTCTCTGATGTCAAACACCCTCTGTCGTTTACTTTTATCAAGCCCGGGCAGGATACACTCTGCTCATTGTGTGTGAGTCTGCCTTACACAGAGGCTTATTGAGTGTGTGTTAGCTGTGTGGTTAGCATGCGCACACTGCACAAGTCTCCTTCCAAAAATGTGTAGGCGTGTTTGATGTGACAACACCAGAACCCACCCGACACTTCATTAAGCACACCTGCCCATGCAAGAACTTAGAGATGTATGTAAATGTCAAATCACAATTACAAGAAAACCTTTATTAGTCCCACAGTGAAGATGTTTGCATTTTTTCAGCAATAGTAGTGGATAGGGGGGAAAAAAAGGGCATGGAAAAGAAGACATTCGCATAAGAAGCATGGAATAGAAACCTAAATAATGAGCATTTTTCTTGGATGCAGTCAGATAAACAGATGAAAACAAGAAGTGAAAGTGTTAAAAGGTTGTGAAAATGTTTTGAAGAGAAGGAGAGGGAGGATAAGCTCACTGAGGAAGTGCGGCGCAAGATGACTCACAGCTGGAAACTCAGCATATCACTTTTTTTTTTGCCTGTCTTCCAACGACTTAAGATTTATTTATTTTTTTATCGAGTCTGTTCATGAATGATATTGTGCTGCTTGAGAATGCGGGAGAAAAAACAAAAGTTACAAACCTTACCGATGGTTCTATGAATCCCAAATGACCACCAGAGTCTTCTGTCACTCAGAATCTTCGTGTTCATTCATGCGAGAGGATTCCGTAAGAAAATGAAACTAGTGGTACAAAAATATACAAAATCCAAAAATGTGGACATCATATAAAATCTTCCAGAAACGCTGCTTAACATTCAGAAAGTCAAAATTGAGACAGCCCACACCACCCAAACAAAAGTTACCATTTTGAGAAGAAAAAAAAATGTGACTGTGAGTATGCAGACCTCGACTGTATTAGATGTGAAAAATGGACACATTAAAGTACAAACATCATCTTGAATTATTTATGTCACATAAACCATTCGCCTGTGTCTCGGTGTGGCCCTTCCTCGTAGCCCCTCTTGCTGTTACAATGAATTCATATTTGTGTGATGCCAAATCAGCTCAACAAAAAAAATGTCACATCACGGAGCAAGTGCAATGTTGCAATGTATAAATCGCTTCCATTTTGTTTAAAGAACATATCATCAATATTTATTGAACATTTAAGATTCTCTCGGCATCCATTGCCGCCTGGTCATCCTGGAAGGGGGAATGTCCCACCTGCAACCCCTTCTCAAGGTTTCTCATTTCCCTCCCAGATGTTTTTTTTTTTTCCCCCTGCCCTCCTGGGGGTTATGGTCAGGGGATGTCGTGCATACTTGTCTACTGTGGGCATATAAAACTTTTTGAGACTGTTTTTTTTGATTGAGGGCTATATAAATAAATGTGACTTGACCTAGTAAATGAATCAATTCGGAGTTCTCTGAATCGTTATTGAATCGATAAGTGACGACTCGTGATCCCCACCGGTAATTGACTGTTGTAGAACGAATATCTATGAAGATGCTTTGTAGAAAAGACAAACCGCAGGACAAGAAATGGTCTATAATTGTTCCATTGTCGTAGAAAATCGAAGGGACCTTCTGAGTAAAATTGAGGGATGAGTCACGGTGAGTCATGCTTTCCACGGTATTGAACACACATTTCACTTTTATAATAACAGCACTGGCACTCAGTCAGCTCATTCTTCTGTAAAACTGCCCACCGCCTGACACCTTGAGGGTGTTATCGTCAGTGTAGTGCAGAAGGTCGAAGCTGCAGCACTACTTGGAATATAAAGAACAACTGAGGATGATGACGATGAGGAGCGAAGTTCCTCTGTTGTCTGCACTTTGTGATTAGACTCTGCTATTCAGTTAGCCATTTGTAAATTATACATTTTATTTTTCCAGATAACCCCCCCCCCCCCCCAAAACCTTTTATTTTGATCTGAAAGCTGTTTACATATTATGGAAAAGTAGCACAATAAAAATACCGATGCATAATTGTGATTAATAATCGCGATTATATTAGTGAGCAAAATAATAATCATTATCATTTTTGCCACAATCGGGTAGCCCTGTGTCAAAATCATTGTATTGCTTGACATGGTTATTTGTGTACTTC